TACAGCTTTGCTTAGGAAACGGCCGCCACCACCCTGTATCGGGCTTGATGACGGCCCGGTCTTGTGTTCCACCCTTCACACGTATCTCACAGCCATTGTTTCAGAAAACTGAGGCCCAGCGAATGGGAGCCCTGGTGGTGTCGTGGTTATGAGTTGGGCTGCAATTTGCATGGTCGGTGGTTCGAAACCATCTCCTTTGGAATAAGCCTGGGCTTTCTACTCCTGTCAAGTTACCATTTTGGAAATCCACAGAGGGTCGCTATGAGTCAGCATGGGCTGCAAGTCTGCGAGTTTGGGTTGAGTTTGAGGTCCAGAGAAACAACCTAACAAATCTCCAGCCAGAGTCCTAAGCGGTGCCTTCAAGCCAAGCCCCCTTGCAGGGAACCCATGTTCCCATCTCCCTTTCCAACTCATCAGGAGCCCTGATGATGTAGTGGTGGGGGTGGGGGGCACTGGGCTGCGAACCCACCCCGTGGAGGCTGTCTGCTCCTCTAAAGAGTTACGGCCTTGGACACACACAGGGCCGTCCCCGCTGTCCTTTACTGTCACGAGAAGAAAGAATTAGCTGGGTTGACAGACAATTGTTCGTTTCGAGTTTTTTACTAATTCGCCCTCCGTTAACGGTGACCTCACCAACGGCGTTGCTTCCGGAGCAAAATGCCTTTCCTTCCAGTCAGCAATCTATCTAGACATACACGGTGTGTCTCTACAATGGCGGTGGGGCACAAACCCCCAGTTCTTCGTCCAACATCTGATCTACTCAGAATGGTTCTCAGGGGGACAGAAAACCACCGTGTGGCTGGCATAGGCACGGGAAAATGGGTGTGCCCAAGAAAAAGAGCAGAGGACCTAAGGTTTGGGCCTGGAAGACACGAAACGACTAGGCTGACTTGGCTTGCAGGAATGCTTCTTTCCGTTTTTGCCCTGTGGTGGCTCCAGAGCCTGGGAGGAAGGAAGGTTGAGGAAGAGCTGGAAGAGGATCAGGCTGGCCGGAAAACAGCACGGTGGCCCGAGCCTGGGCAAGCCTGAGGAGCTAGAAGGATGGCCCCGTGGCTCACAAAGGTCCCAGAGCCCAGTCAGCGGGCCTTCCGATGGGCAGACCAGGTGCAAGGCCTGTTGTTGGTGATGATGTTAGGTGCCACTGGGTTGGTTCTGACTCACAGAACAGCCTATGTTCAGCAGAACAAGACATTGCCTGGTCCTGCGCCTTCTGTCGATTGCTGCTTTGTCTGCACCCCTCAAAGCCACGGCCGCCGTGTGTGCATAATTAGGTAGAGGAGGCAGCGCTCACCTGGGGACAAAAAGCAACGTGCCTTCCAAATTGTGGTGGCAATCGTATGCTTCTTAATGTGATTGGATTATACAACTGTATCAGATGTCAATGCTATGCCAACAAAACTGTTCTCTCCTTAAAAAAGAGAGAGAGAGAGAGAAGATACTTCCCTTCAGAACTGTCTACATGTGGAGGCTGGCATCCCCTGCGAGGTGGATGGTATGTAGGGGCTTCAAAAAAACTTTTTAGAGAGAACTTTGCCGTGGACTTCCTGAGAGCCCAGCCTGGACTTCACCACCCACTAGCACTGAAGAGCCATCAGGTGGTTCAGTACACTCGGTACAAGAGTGGAAGAAGCAAGTAGTGTGTATGGGGCATCTACGACAGGCCAGGCCTGCGGTAGACACTTTCTACTTGGTTATGCATTGAGCTGCTAACCACAGGGTCAGTGGTTTGAAACCACCAGGAAAGACAAGGCAAGCCTTTCCACTCCCCTGGAGAGCTACCATCACAGCGGCAGCTCTTCCCTGTCCTACAGGACCCCAAGTCAGAATCGACTCACTGGCAGTGAGAGAGTCTCCTTTAAACCTTAAGCACCCTATGCCACAGGGCCCTTATCCAGTTTTATTCACACAGGAACTTGCTCTGGTGGCTCTTCGCTAAGGATATTGCGTTAAACCCTTCCATCCTCTGTTCCAAAGCTAACGAGCCCTGTTTGTACTATGGGTTAAGCATTTGGGCTGCTAACCAAAAGGTCAGCCGTTCAAACCCACCGGCTACTTCATGGGAGCAAGAGGAGGCTGTCTGCTCCAGGTAGGATTTCCCACTTCAGGAGTCCCCAGGAGCAGTGCTACTCTGTCCTGGAGCGTCGCTGGGTCAGAATCAGTTCAACGGCAGTGGGCGGGTTCCCATGTTTTTAAACACTTAGTTTTAAAGTCTTCTCATTCCCCTCCTTCTGTGAGAAAGGTGCGCAGTCTGTTCTCCTGTCAGCAAACTAACTTAGTCAGCACGCTCTTGCTGTGGTGGTTGGGAGACACAGAGTCAGTGCTGGCTGAAAGTATGAACCGATTTCACTGATTGAACTGTTAGGCTGGTTCCTAGAAAGCCAAAACCAACGGTGCTTGTTGTTGTTGTTGTTGTTGTTGTTAGGTGCTGTGGGGTCAGGCTGGATGCACAGGAGCCACTACAATAGAACGAAACTGCCCAGTCCCGCGCCATCCTCACAATTGTAAAGCCTGAGCCCACTGTTGCAGCCACTACGTCACTCCATCTGGTCAAGGCTCCTCCTCTTTTGCACTGCCCCTCCACGTTAGCACGCACGATGTCCTCTTCCAGGGACTGGTCACTCCATTCTCTGTACTTCTTTCAAGATAGTTTGGTACATTCACTATTCCTTGCCAACACCATACATCATCAATTCGTAAAGGTAAAATTACATAAATTCCAACAATTGAGGTAAACTAATCTTTCAACTGACCCCTCAAGTGATCAGAGGTACTTAGAAGAAGAGACACAGAAAGGGGAAATAGAAACAATAGAAATGGAAGCAGAGTGTACGAGGGGATCCCTAAAAAATCCCGGAATTTTTTTTTCATCCCCAAAGCTGTGTATTCACATTTTTACCAAAACAAGCTTTTCCCCATCAAAGTACTCTCCATTATAGTTAATGCATTTGTCAAATCTGCAATTCTATTCTTGGGATATTTTTCAAGCTCATCTGTTTGGGGGGCAGACAATACCTCCCTCGTTTTTGTCTTCATCTCCTCTATGTGCTCAAATTGCCATCCTTTCCATGCCCTTCATTTGGGGAAACAAAAAGAAGTCGCAAAGAGCGAGGTCAGGTGTGTAACGTACGTGGGGCAAGAGAGGCATGCCCGTTTGGGCCAAAAACTGACACATTTGCCGTGTGAACAGGTGCATTGTCATGGTGGCAAACCAGTCTCGCCTGCCAAAAATCAGGGCATTTTTGTCACACACTGTTACACAATCTTTTCAAAACCTCTAAATGGAAAGCTTGAAGAACAGTCTGACCTGGTAGAACAAACTCCAAATGCACGAACAAACTCCAGGTTTTGGGGGGTGCCCCCTCGTATATGTTACCAGTAAAGTAGGCTGATGGAGGGAGAAGTTGCTACCATTTTTGCATAATGCAAGAGGCAACACCCCAACAATGTACTGAACCCAAAGTTGATGCTATGTCCAAGCACAAGAACTTGAACTATTCCTCTTCCACTCCCCTACCCACGCCCCACATACACAAGACACCAATTTGCTATCAGTAATTGAAGCACCTTCATTGGTAGCAAGGTCAATGGTAGAACTCTTTCAGCTGGGGCTTGGTGTCAGCACATGTGTGCAAGGATTTCAATAACCTTGCATTAGGGAGGGAGAAAGTCTCACGCAACTGCTCTCTGTGCATCTGCAAAGAAGAGCGATTTCTATCACAGCATACTGGCCTCAAAAACACAGGTAGGACCAAGAATAATCTCTTGAGATTTTCTTTGTACTGTCAGATGCTGAAAAATAAACTGGCCAGTTGAACTCTAGCTATGGCGCTGTATTTTTTCACGGCTGCTTTTCCTTCCACAGGAATACTATGTTTGTGCAGTGTCGCTGCTTAGTCAACAGTTGATGATACCAGGGCATCGCTTGACTGGGAGGGATCTGCAGAATGGAGAGAGGCCTGGCTTCCAGGAGGGAGGACGATGTGACCCCCCTACTGAGGCCTGGCCCCTTCCCCATGACATTTTCCAATCTGATCCTTCTGAGTATGATCGGCCATCTTCCATCAGAAGAACTCAGAAAAGATTTGGGGCAGCTAAGCCACCTCTAGCTTTTGTGGGATATCATTCTTCTCAATGAGAAGGTAATTTCAAGCATTCACACTCTTAAAGCGTGTGAGTTCTCTGAACTCATAATTCCATTTTAAGAATTAATCTATAGAACTAATCAGTTATCTGTTCCTCTCTTCCACCTTCCCTCTCTCTCTCTGTCATCAAGGTGGTTCCAGCGCTTAGCAGCCCGATAGGACAGACGAACTCTTTATAGGAGTAAAAGCTCGTCATTCTTCTGTGGAGTAGCTAGTGGTTTCAAACTGCTGACCTTATGGTTAGCAGTCAATTGTGCAACCCATTATACCACCAGGGCTCCAGGCTACTGTCATGACTGTGTATGCACTAAAACTTGCTACAGCATGATTTATAACAGCCGAGATCCAGAGGTCACCCAGCATAGAGGGCCTATCTAAAGAAATTTAAGCACTGTCATTGTACAGTGGAATACTATGGACAATGATGGCAATCGAGGAACTTCTTTGATGCTATGTAGAGATGACCATAATATGTTTACTTTAAAAAGCAGGTAATGAACGGGATGTATTTTTTATAAGATATATATGTTACTCAGGGGGGGAGGGGTAGGTCAGGAAGACTATACATAAAACGTGAAGTTTGTGTTTTTTTCCTCTAAAAAGCAACTGTTTTGCCTAGTGAAAATATTTTGTAATCAGTGCAAATGACTTAGAGACTCATCCGCACCCAAAACAATCATGCTCATTCCACTGGCTCCAGATCACAGGGATGCCAGAGCAGCTCATGGCACGCTGGTCGCCACCTTGTGCTTCTTTGGTCGGATGCCCAATATGCCCTCGACTGGGGCATCTGTCTACCCACATAAGGCCCAGGCACAGCTAGACGACTGCGACCATGTCAGGAAAGTGAGTACATACTTTTCTGAAATTCTTCCAGTTTTTTAACAGCTTCATCTCGCTCTTGCCTAATCTTGTCACACTGAAATGAGAAGAAGAAAAAAAAGTTTAATTCATATCATCAATTTTAAATCTGAAAAGGCAAGCGATAGCAATCTGATCAACGACGGCGATTTTCTAAAAGCAAAATTGAAAACTGAAAAACACAGCCTCGTGGGACTCGTGCAGCTCAACCAAGGTGGTATTTTGTACCTTTCTAGTCTGGTGAAGAACGAGTCACCTAACTACTCATTGTCTCCCGGGTAACTGGCCAATTTTACATCCTTGAGTTAAAGGGGATTCATCCGGGCAGGGAGTGGAGGAGGCTGACTGTGCTTCTCCCCGTGGTGGGTATTTCCGTGAACACCTCACTCATCCTCGGGTCAGAGCCTCAACAGCTTCGATTACCCACAAGCCCAGTGCAGGCTGGAGGCAAACGTAGTGGCCCCAGCAAGAAGGGCCACTGTCACCTGCCCCAGCCCTCGGTCACCTCTGTGCCCTGAGCATTCTGAAGAGAAGACGGTGGCAGATTAAAAGGGGGAGAAGAAACCATATCCCCCAACAAGAAGCTTGTTTCATTCAGGGAAACTGATGTTTAATTGTAAATGGTGGGCGAAACGGATGAAACAGCAGGATAAAGGCAAAAACGAATGTGAGGGACGAGGACTTGTCAGGAGATCTGGTTCCCTCACAGATAGCCTCCTTTTATCAGACCCTTGAGATATTAATGAGTCTTAGCAAAAGCCCCAAACCCACTGCCCCTGAATTGACTTAGAGACACAGCAACCGCACACCACAGAGCAGCATGATCCCATACAGTCCCCAAGGCTGTAATCTTTATGGAAGCAGACTGCCGCATGGGTCTTCCGAGGAGCAGCTGGGGCGCTTGAACTGCTGACCTTGAAACTGGTAGCCCAACACTTAACCCCAGTACCACCACAGCTCCTTAGGAAGACGGAATTCCACAAGTGCTGAACTTCACAAAACAGATAGGACAATACATTTCAGAAGAATGTTTAAGAAGGGTTACAGCTTTTAAAAGCCGTTTTCATTCCTAGAGTGAAAACTTAAATTTCCCAGGCAGCCCTCTGCCCCGAAGAACACCACAAGAATCAAGTACAACTTTAAACCCTAACTGATCCCTAGCATGTCGGATCAATCGACCGGGACTGCATCCCTTTGGAGAGTCTTAATTTCAGAGTTCAGTGGCTGAAAGAATTATGAAGCAACTGGTAGCCAGCAGAATCTAAAACCATGAAATCATCTGCTCCATTAGACTGGCCTCAGAATGGGCAAAATCGGAGGCCCAGAGTTGGAAACACTGACATGTTGCTAGGAGAGGCCTAAACTGGTAGAACTGCGTGCGAAATAAATTCCTACCAAAATGGAAGGGTAGAACCCAATTACTCAGCAATGCGACGGTGCGCATGCTCCAAGGATCGATCTCTCAGGGGTGGACAGGACAGACAATAGGCTCTCTGAAACAATGGGCAGCATTGGCAGTCATTTTTAAACGTCAGGGTATATTTGTCTACTGCACAATAGAAACACTAACGCCACAGCCATTGAGTGCAATCTAACTCATAGTGACCCCATAGATCCAAGTAAACTGTCCCATGGGTTTTCCAGGTCTATAAATCATTACAGAAGCAGGCTACCACATTTTTCCACCATGGGACAGCCAATGGATTTGAACAGCCAACCTTTAGGTTATCAGTCTGGTGCTTTAACCACTGTGCCATCAGTCTACACTAAAAGAAAAACAACCCATTGCCATTGAATTCATTCTGATACATAGCAACCCTGTAAGGCAGGGCAGAACTGCCCCTGTGAGTTTCCGAGACTGCACCTCTTTACAGGAGGAAAAAGCATTCTTCCTGCAGAGTTGGCTGGTGTTTTGAACTGCTGACCTTGTGCTTGGCAGCCCAACAAATAACCACTAGGCCACCAGGGCTCCTATTCCACACGATAGAGCAATGAAAATGAATGAGCTAAAAGCTCAAAGGCCATGATGTCGAGTAAAAGGGGTTGTAGAATAGACATCAATGGTGCCTTAAGCACACAAAACCATTCTCACTTATTTGCATTGTGTACATAAACATATTTCATGCCATGTTAAAATTTCAGAAATTCAATCGAGGGGTGCCTATAATGTTTAGGATTGGCTCTTAGAAAGCAGGGAAGAAATGGGACTATGGATTGGCAGCACCGGGCCTTTGATCTGTCCCAAACCCAACCCACCACCTTCGGGTCAATTCCCACTCAGAACAACACTGGGGACAGAGTAGAAAGGGCCCCTTTGAGTTTCTGAGGCTGTCAATCTTTAGGGCACAAAAAAGCTTCATCTTCCTCCAGAGGAGCAACTGCTGAGTTCGAAGTGCTAACCTTCCCGTTGGCAGCCCGGCTCACAATGCTCTGGGCCACCCAAGCTCCTCACAATTTTATCTGGTGCTTCTCTTAGTATCATTGTTGTTTCAAAAAAATAACAGCCACTTTGGTGTGGCCACTTTATTTGTAATACCACTCTGACTTTTCTGTGCTTAAATTTTTTTAAATTAGAAGCAAATAGTTCATGGCTTGTTATTTAAAGCAAATCGCAAAACCTTTAAAAAGCCTTATCTCAGGCTACACGGGCAAATCCAATCCAGCAAGAGTGCTTTGAACAAGTCCCCGGTGCTAACTGAGCAGGGCTGATCACCGAATACTGACCAGGGCTCCCGACAAATGGGTCAGGCTGGGGGCACGGGGCACGTCCTAAGGAAAAGGCATATTCTTGCGCCCACATTTCCCAGTGGGAATCTAATAATCGTGTGATATGTAATCTCTTATTTGAATTACGGGGCTGGTGAAGAAGACGGAAAGTACCACGGGCGGCCAACGGAACAAACAAATCTGTCCTGGAAGAACTCCAACCAGAAGGCTCTCCTTAGAAGCCAGGCTGGGCAGACGTCCTTGCCCCTACTTTGGAGACATTATCAGCAGAGACCAAAGTAAAACCAAACTCACTGCTGTCGAGTGGATGTCAACTCAGTCACCTGACAGGACGGAGTAGAACTGTCCCTGTGAGTTTGTGAGACTTTTAACTGTTAGCGGGAGTAGAAAGCCCCATCCACAGACCAGTCCCTGGAAAAGGACATCATGCTCTGCTCGTGGAGAGTCAGGTGAAAATCGAGAAGACCTCAGGGAGCTGGAGTGACCAGGGCCTGCAGCAATAGGCTTCAATATATAACTGGAAGGATGTTGCTGCAGGCCCAGGCATTGTTTCATTCTGATGAACACAAGGTCCCTATGAATCAGAACCCACTCCAGGCCACCTAAAACCATCAGTAAACTCTCCAGTTCCAATTTACCAAACTACATCTGCTGTCTGTTTAGTTGGCTGGTTGGTGTTTGCAAATCGAAGCACTAGAGTGCTGAAGTCTCCTTCCTCACTCAGTTTGACCACATCAGACTGTAAAACCCTTGGTACAAAGAGAGTGCTGGCCAGCTGTTTCAGCACGGTCCCACTTGTTTCCAGAAGTGGGCATCTGCTTGGGTTATGCTTCCCAACATCCCTGCCAGCCCTCCCCAAACAGTGCACAGCAGAGACTCTGGCACAAAAAGGAGTCTAGAATAGTCTTTGCCTGGGCTGACTCTCCTGAGTATTTCACTTTCAAATGGACTTCATGTTGTCTACCCTGGTGCTTCCTAAGATAGAAAATGCCCTGTGAAAATCTATGACTGGGAGCGTTGTGCCTGACTCACCGGCATTTATGTCCTTCTATCTGCCTCTTACAAGGACCCTACAGGACAGAGTAAAACTGCCCTTGTGGGTTCCTAGGTTGTAAATCTTTACAGAAGCCTCATTTTTTCCCCTCAGAGTGACTGGTGGGTTTGAACCACTGACCGTGTGATTGCTGGCCCAAAGCATAACCCACAATGCCACCAGTCACAAGAATCAGAATCGATCCGTTGGCAGCAAGTTTGGTTTTGATGATCTGCCTCTCAAACGGAGTCCCAGTAGCACAGTCAAATAAGTGCTGGCCTGTTAACTAACTGTATGGTTCAAACCCACCAGCCACTTCTTGGGAGAAAGGTAAGGCTGGAGGCTCCCATGAGATTCACAAAACCTTGGAAACTCTACACAGGGTTTGTTATGAGTCTATATCAACCCCATGGCAGTGAAGATCAGCCTCCCCAAGCACTACCTGGAAGAATTTGAGGGTGAATCAATTCTCACCATTTCAAAGGGCCAGCGCTCTGCCTGAGATGTGTCTGAAATAGGATCTCTTCTCAGATCTCAAAAGGCCACCAGCTGGCATCATTCACAAACACACACACACACACACACACACACAACCAATACTGCTACCATTTGTTGGTCATCATCAGCTCGTGACAATGTTAGGTAGTTTGTTTTTATCTTGTTTTTTAAGGTGGTTCTTTAGAATCATCCAGAAGACACGAGGCACACTCGTGCCACAGGGTTTCGGTGTTGGGCTGCTAAATACAAGGATGCTTTGAACCTCCCCAGTGGTTCAATGGTAGCATCCTGATGGCATAGTGGTTACTCTTTGGACTGCAAGGTCAGCAGTTCAAAACCACTAACCAGCTCTAAGGGAGAAAGACAAGGCTTCTACTCTTATATAGAATCAGTTTCAAAACCCTAACGGGGGCAGCTCTACCCTGTCCGATCGCGTTGCTAAGAGTCAGAATTGATTCAATGGCAGTGAGTTGTTTTGTTGTTGTTTTTGGTTTTTTGAGTGGTTCCAGAGTAAAAAGAGGTGGCTGTCACCTTCCGTCAAGATTTACAGCCTCAGGAACCCTCGGGGACAGTTCTACTCAGAGCTGCTGAGTTAGACCCAGTTTGGTTTACCAGCTGCCCAGGAGACAGACCTTGGGTCTCTGCTCTCGTTCCCGGGGTCTGGGCTGGCCAGCTTTGGTACATACAGGTCCCTGGACTCAGCAGCCTGGCTGCATGCTTTTAGGCCAGTGCTGCAGCCATCACCAGCAGATCCACAAGCCGGTTCCAAACCCAGCTGTGTTCCACCAGGGGTCTTCATG